AAAATGTCAGTCTTTACTCACCATAGTCCAGCTCAGAGGGAGGCCATCGAGTACTGGTCCAGAAGTAAGGAGTCTGAAAAAGACAACCTTTGCAAGTCAGTCCTCGTCCAAATGAATCCATGCCGATGGAGGGGATGAGGAATAAAACATACCTGGAAACGGTAGGGCGATTCATCAGGACGTAGCACAAGCAATCGGGGCTCCTTGAGAGGGTAAATATAGCCAAACCTCACCAGCATGCCTCCAAGATGCAGAGCCTCTGGAGGAGTCACAAACCCTTCACTTTAGTCACTAATCCCTCAGATGATTTGGATTATTGTATGTGCTCAATACAAGTACAGCATCTGAATAAACTTCTCAAGCATGAGCAGATTTTTTTGACACTGTGGAAAACATTGGGCTCGATTAACCTTCCATGCTTGTTTCAGGGATGTGGGAGGAAGCCAGAGTACCCGTAGAAAACCCACTCAACCATAGAAATTGCAATTTCCATGCAGGAAGGTCGGAACCAAGTTTTTAACCTAGGACCTCAGGACTGGTACTGTGGACAATCTGCTCTCAACCCCTCTCCCTCTTAGACCGTTAAATTAAAGTTCCACTGTACATTATTTTTACTTTATTCTTACTACTACTACTACTACTAAAAATAACAATAACCTATGCAATGTCATTTAATCAGTCCCCGATGTATTTTTCCTTCCTACAAGAGGCCAACGCACCGCATTTCTTTCCAGCCTCTAATTGAGTTGAGCAACCGTAAAGATTCCCCAAGGGTGAAAAGTCTCCACATGGGATCTGAATCAAGTCAGGTCACCCGGTGAGTTAATCAAACTTGTAATCTCTGGGGTGCGCATTCCTGCTTATTGGAAACAACAACCTCACGACACACAAAAGTGACTTCTCCCACTCAGCTGGAGAGGACGAGCACCGTATCCAGGCAACACACACAACAACGCATCAGCAGTACAAAACAGTCAACCTCTGCTCTTTGGAGGGGATCGGGACCGAGCCCTGCCTACCCGACAAGTATTTTTATTTATTTATTTATTTTTTAATAAGACTGCCTATAGGCTATGGCTTGCCAAAATAAAGTGTTTAAAATACTGTAGACAGCATGGCGCTTTATATCAGACATGGCACAAAAACAGTGAATAGGTGAGTTGTTTTTTGTTTTTTGTTTTTTTTTTAGTCAAATAACTGAGTACAGGTTGCCCCCCAAAAAAATCTTTGAATTAACTGTCAATACCACTCTGAGGTTCTGATGAGCTCCTCACCTTCCTCGCCTATGTTGTATTTGTGGATGAGCCACTCGATGATGTCACGGCCTGCAAAGTCACGAGACAGGAGGGAAAGAAGAGAGGGAATAAGAGGACAAAGCTCCTCGCCTGCTCTTCGCAAAGCACACGGTTCTCCAAAATTCACGGCTGCATTATGCATGAGCAGCGGGACCAACACGCTGCAGCGGGCATTTCCAAGCACACGCACGCACGCACACCTGTCATGGCGTGTGGGATGACCGTTATAAGGAGCCTCTGGTTCCTCATCTTCACGCCCATGTCCGGGTCCTGCATGGCCACAATCACCTTCTCCATCTGGAAGTTAAGGCGCACACATGCGTGCAAGTCAAACACACCATGCGGGACGTAATAAATAGAGAGCTATGCGGGTGAAATATTCCATCCCTATATGACTTGTTTTCATCCAAGCAGGTTTTTAATTGCACTGGGGTCAGACCGGGTGACATTCAGTATCATCCCGGGGGTCATGTCATCACTTGTTAATACAGTGCAGTGGAATACGGCAATCAGATCATGACTTTAGGTGTAGAAGAAAGCAAATATCCATTAGATGACGTTTGAGCATAGCAGTAACATGGCCTGTTTCCTTTTTTTGTCCACGATGTTATAAAATTGCCATGTATTGCTGTCAATCACAGTGGATGTCTGCAGCAGAATTACTGGCCACACACGTCGGGGATCGCTGCAGGGTCTCCACAATAAACACTAGAACAGTGGAATCCATCCGGTCAGTCTAATGATTTGCATCCATTAAGCATTAGTTGATGCCATCTGGTGACCTCCTCAGACCTCACTGGGCTTAAATCATCCGATTCAAACACTCACTCTGAGCAAAAGCTGATATTTCTATCTGAACTTACTCATGGGATGCACAATTTGTATTTAAATGATTCATTTCACTGTATAGTTTTGTGGTATTTTATGTACAGTGCATGGCTTATAAAACTGCATTATTTTCACCTTTTTGCAGCAAAACCCTATTAATATCAAGCGAATTACCTTTTTTTTTAAATGTGTTAAAACATCCTTTCCAGTTTTTTAAAATAGCAACCAACTGTTATTGTATGGTTTTCAATTAACCTATTACATAAGACAAATGTGTGTGTACTATCATAAGAAAACTTTCTTTTAAAAAAAAATCTTAATTGAAATGTAAAGATTAAAATCACCCTACTGGATCACTGTCAAATTGTATTAGATTTGCTCAAGTACCAGTTTCACCTTATACTTAACATTGAAAATCACATGAAATCAAAATTATAATTTCATTAATTTAACTCATCATAATTTCTATGATCATTTCTATGATTCTGTGTATTGTTCAAAGACATTTTGTTGTCGTGCATCTGGATATTGTGCACTGATTTTTCAGGTGACAGTCTAGAGAACTCTTGACTACTCTTCCTGCTAACAGACAATAAATCCTGGAATAAAAAAAAGGTCATTCGTACCTTTCGGAAACATGCCATTTGTTCCCGGTGGCAGCCTCCTCTAGCCAGGGTGCTGATGGTCATCTTGCGTGCACTTTGGGGTAGCTCCACTTAGTCCATGGGACGGCATCAAGTGCGAGAGAGTTAAGTGATGGCGGCGCGAACGCGCAGAGAAGCGTGCACGTTTTTTTCTCTTTGCCATCACGCGCACCCCAGTGGCGATAAAAGCGGATTAGAGGATGCCGGCAAAGTGATTTGAATAGATAAAATGTTCGATACAAGAGAGGGAGAAAATAACGGGACGTGTTTTCATACAGTACATTTTAGTTTTATTGGCAACCTAACACAACACCCCCCGCCCCTCCCCCCAAAAAATTCTAGTTCCTATGGTTTTGTTATTATAATGTAATCAATCAATAAACAGACTAAAACTACTAGTACCACCACTACTAAATACAGTACAACAATTATAATATTGTTGTCATTATTTCTATTTGTAATGATAAATAATTAATAATAACCAACTCTACTGTACTCCCATTTCGGGCTGATTACACAACGAACCTTGCCGCTGCTCCATGCCCGGTGTGGGGAAAGCAACTGTTTTGTTCCACAGACGCTTCCGTAGAATACTAGGAAGTTGCTTCGGCGATGTTGAGAGGCCATTCACTCGTATCATCATCAGTCTATAATTTAATCCGTATTGTGAATTTCACCCGAGGTGAGATCTTATTTCAATTCACTTGATATATCTTTTACTGCTCTATCAGTAATTAATGCGCAAGTGTTTTTTTTGTGTAATGGACAACGTTGACGTTAGCTTGATTTGCTAACATTAGCCGAAGCAGGATGACCGACTCTCTGGGACTCACTTAGAAAGTGTTAATACCAAACGAAGTTTTAAACCTAAATACTTGAATGTGAGCATCTGGATTTATTCGTTCGTCATATTGGGAAGAATGCATTCTCCAAGAGTGCGTACTGGATTCTGGGTTGTTATTGCCGTTAATCCCCAATGTCACTCAGTACATGATGGACACATCAGACTTGAAATTTCAACAACAATGGATGACAATACATGGGCTCAAATTACAAGATAAGCTCACGTTGACCATGATCATTCTCAAATATCGACTAGCTGCTACCATGTATGGAAATAACATGAATAACAAAGCCATACTGGTTCTTTCTACTGGAGCGAGAAGTTTGTAAAATTCAATTTATGGGTCCATCAGGTAGAGATGGGGGACATACGTCAGTCCTTGTTGCCTCGTGATGTGCTGAGTGCCGCCAAGGAGCTGCTGTACCACTTGGACATCTACATCAGTAACCTGGTGCAATCGGGTAGGCAGCCTCCCCAAGTAGACACGAAGACCTTGGAGCTGGTTGAGGAATTCATTCTGCATGCACCAAAGGACAGAAGCGCACTGACCAGGGTAAGGCACGAGGCGAAAACAGTCCACGCACCACGTTGATATCAAAACAGGAAGCTGATACACATGTTATTTTCTCTCAGAGAATGAGTGCACTTCAGGAGCTTCAGCTTCTGGAGATAATGTGCAGCTTGCTGTCGGCAGAGTTCCCATCTTAGAATGTGCCGCGTTCTGGCTGCAGGTCAGCATTCTAGCGCTAAAACACACTTGCTGAGCTGAGACTCTCTGTGCGTATTTTTTCTTACTGCTGCATCTCTATCTGTGTATGTCTGCCAGAGGACCCATCGCGCGTACTGCGTGCGCCTGGCACAGGTAAGACTTTCGGGCTGAAAATAGTGTTGCGACTTAGTGTGATTTCAAGAAAGCTAAATGAAGGTTCGGTCTTCTGCTGAAAGTCTCCCACGGATTGCCCCTTTTTTTCGTAGGCATCAAATGAACACATACTCGAAGGTGTATACGTCTTGTCACGTACTGCTAGGCAAGCTGGTCTCCATGGCAGTTGCTGTCGGCAGAGTTCCCATCTTAGAATGTGCCGCATTCTGGCTGCAGGTCAGCATTTTAGCGCTAAAACACGCTTGCTGAGCTGAGACTCTTTGTGCATATTTTTTCTTACTGCTGCATCTCTGTCATTTTAGTTTTATTGGCAACCTAACACAACAAACCCCGCCCCTCCCCCCAAAAAATTCTAGTTCCTATGGTTTTGTTATTATAATGTAATCAATCAATAAACAGACTAAAACTACTAGTACCACCACTACTAAATACAGTACAACAATTATAATATTGTTGTCATTATTTCTATTTGTAATGATAAATAATTAATAATAACCAACTCTACTGTACTCCCATTTCGGGCTGATTACACAACGAACCTTGCCGCTGCTCCATGCCCGGTGTGGGGAAAGCAACTGTTTTGTTCCACAGACGCTTCCGTAGAATACTAGGAAGTTGCTTCGGCGATGTTGAGAGGCCATTCACTCGTATCATCATCAGTCTATAATTTAATCCGTATTGTGAATTTCACCCGAGGTGAGATCTTATTTCAATTCACTTGATATATCTTTTACTGCTCTATCAGTAATTAATGCGCAAGTGTTTTTTTTGTGTAATGGACAACGTTGACGTTAGCTTGATTTGCTAACATTAGCCGAAGCAGGATGACCGACTCTCTGGGACTCACTTAGAAAGTGTTAATACCAAACGAAGTTTTAAACCTAAATACTTGAATGTGAGCATCTGGATTTATTCGTTCGTCATATTGGGAAGAATGCATTCTCCAAGAGTGCGTACTGGATTCTGGGTTGTTATTGCCGTTAATCCCCAATGTCACTCAGTACATGATTGACACATCAGACTTGAAATTTCAACAACAATGGATAACAATGCATAGGCTCCAATTACAAGATAAGCTCACGCTGACCATGATCATTCTCAAATATCGACTAGCTGCTACCATGTATGGAAATAACATGAATAACAAAGCCATACTGGTTCTTTCTACTGGAGCGAGAAGTTTGTAAAATTCTTTTTGTGGGTCCATCAGGTAGAGATGGGGGACATACGTCAGTCCTTGTTGCCTCGTGATGTGCTGAGTGCCGCCAAGGAGCTGCTGTACCACTTGGACATCTACATCAGTAACCTGGTGCAATCGGGTAGGCAGCCTCCCCAAGTAGACACGAAGACCTTGGAGCTGGTTGAGGAATTCATTCTGCATGCACCAAAGGACAGAAGCGCACTGACCAGGGTAAGGCACGAGGCGAAAACAGTCCACGCACCACGTTGATATCAAAACTGGAAGCTGATACACATGTGATTTTCTCTCAGAGAATGAGTGCGCTTCAGGAGCTTCAGCTTCTGGAGATAATGTGCAGCTGTTTCCAGGAGCAGAGCCGTGATACTGTTCGTCAGCTCATGTTCTCCGCCCTCTTCAGCCTCCAAGGGAACCAGGCAGATGACAGCCGCATGGGACTGCTAGGCAAGCTGGTCTCCATGGCAGTTGCTGTCGGCAGAGTTCCCATCTTAGAATGTGCCGCATTCTGGCTGCAGGTCAGCATTTTAGCGCTAAAACACGCTTGCTGAGCTGAGACTCTTTGTGCATATTTTTTCTTACTGCTGCATCTCTGTCTCTGTGTATGTCTGCCAGAGGACCCATCGCGCGTACTGTGTGCGCCTGGCACAGGTGCTGGTGGATGACTACTGCAGTATGATGCCAGGTTCCGTGCCCACCCTACAGAATATCCACAGTGCCAGTCCACGCTTCTGCTGCCAGTTCATCACTGCTGTTACCACCCTCTATGACTTCACATCAGGTTTGGGCATTGAAAAAATGCTTAACAAAATATCAAAATATTTCCTATATGTCAGGGTGAGGAGGGGGGTGGCTTTTAAAAATATCTCAAAGTTGATGATGATAATGCATTCAATGAAGTGATTTCTACAATGATTCATTGATGAACACTGTCGACATATTCATGGATGAAATCCGATGACATCCACGAATCTGTCTGCCTGCACCCGAATCAAATGCACCAAAATGGCAGTGCACGACCTGCGCCACAACTTAGATCTGCTTTTAGCTGGTCTAAAAAATTGCCTCCTTTCCGCCTCCAGCTTGTCAGGTGCGCCGGGGGTATGCAAAAGAAAATTCACCGAACACCTTACGTGGCGTGCCACATGCACTGTCTATGAAAATAAAGCCCGAAAATAATTTATTTGTCTTGAATAGAGGCGTCAAGAAAAACAAAACAAATGTTTGATTTAAAAGATGTGAGTGCATCACATAGAATCTTTTCACTTGAAAATGTACCATTCTAGTATCATATCACAGCCTATGTTTCCAGATACGTATCGACCCCTAGAATTGAATCTCAAGTCCCTCTTTTAAACTACGCCAATTTGTGTTCTGCTCTTTGTCCTTCAGAGGAGCTCATTCCTCCTCTAGAGCTCCTCCAGATGATTGTGTCATGGATCCAAGATGACCCCCGCATCGTTCTGGTCACCTTCCTGAACACGCCCCTATCTGGCAGCCAACCAGTCAGCTCACTTGATCTTACACCTCTCGGTGGGCTGGTGCGCTGGTGCGTCAAAGCCCCGCTGGGATACAGGAGGGACAAGAAGCAGGCGTCCGTACACTGCAGCTCGGAGATTGAGCAGGAAGTGTCGGGCCTTTTCTCGGCACTCCATCTGAGTGTCCTTCAGGTCAGTGTCTTCTCATTTGTTGTGTGTACATCCATGCATGCGTGATGTCATCCTTTTTTAAAATTTTTTATTAGGTCTTTATGCTCCTGCCAAACCTGCTCAAGGAGAAAGGCATTTTCGGTCGCTTGGCGCTCCTGCAGATGGACTCCTTGGCCTCTCTGACCTCTGACCTTTCTCGGCAATTGGACCAGGCCGACAAACACACGCAAATCTCCACCGCTGACATACATGTGCTCACGCAGCTGGCTCTGGACAGGCTGGCTCAGGCCCTGCAAGTCGCCATGGCCAATGGAGCTTTGCTCTGCTCCAGAGGTGCGTGCGTGTATCCGTCATCAGACAGTGGGACAAGAAAGACTTTAGGGGTGCAAATACTGTTGAGACTTAGTGTGATTTCAAGAAAGCTAAATGAAGGTTCGGTCTTCTGCTGAAAGTCTCCCACGGATTGCCCCTTTTTTTCGTAGGAATCAAATGAACACATACTCCACGGTGTATACGTCTTCTCACTCGTTTCTGATGTGCTGTTGTCTTGTTCTCACAGAGGACCTGAGAGCCATCTGTTCACGCCTGCCACACAACAAGTAAGAAAACCATTTGCGCCGCATGTTTGTGTGCAACTCGACGTTTTCTTGACAAGCAGTGTATCACAGTCCCGGATTCACGTTCTTCCAAATTTCGCAGTTGGCTCTGGACAGGCTGGCTCAGGCCCTGCAAGTCGCCATGGCCAATGGAGCTTTGCTCTGCTCCAGAGGTGCGTGCGTGTATCCGTCCGTCATCAGAGAAAACAGTGGGATAAGAAAGACTTTCGGGCTGAAAATAGTGTTGCGACTTAGTGTGATTTCAAGAAAGCTAAATGAAGGTTCGGTCTTCTGCTGAAAGTCTCCCACGGATTGCCCCTTTTTTTCGTAGGCATCAAATGAACACATACTCCACGGTGTATACGTCTTCTCACTCGTTTCTGATGTGCTGTTGTCTTGTTCTCACAGAGGACCTGAGAGCCATCTGTTCACGCCTGCCACACAACAAGTAAGAAAACCATTTGCGCCGCATGTTTGTGTGCAACTCGACGTTTTCTTGACAAGCAGTGTATCACAGTCCCGGATTCACGTTCTTCCAAATTTTGCATCTCAACAACAATTCTCCCGTGGACAAACACAAATGTTGAATGCTGCATGATTCTTTGATTTGTCCGGATTTCCACTATAAAATTTCAAAAAATAATTTCAAATGTAGTTTATAAAATAATACATTTTGTTTATAAAATGAGATAATTAGACTCCACCCCGTAACAAGAATAAACATACGTGACCGGTAAGTGTACAAAAACGTTCTACTAACAGATGGCCTCTCACTCATCAGAAGTTCTGATTTTTACCTCAACAGCCATTTCTAACCCAATTTCTGTACCGCCACTGGATATCCATCTCAGATTCACAAACAAAAACCAGTTGGAAGTCTGTCACAAAGACTTTTGCCTTAGCGGCAATTTCTAACACTAATTTCAACTTTGTGTACAACTTGACGTTTTCTTGACAAGCAGTGTATCACAGTCCCGGATTCACGTTCCTCCAAATTTTGCATCTCAACAACAATTCTCCCGTGGACAAACACAAATGTTGAATGCTGCATGAAGTGCATTCTTTGATTTGTCCGGATTTCCAATTCATGTTTCCGCGATCAAATTTCAAAAAATAATTTGAAATGTAGTTCATAAAATAATACAACATTTTGTTTGAAAAATGAGATAATTAGACTCCACCCCCTAACAAGAATAAACATACGTGACCGGTAAGTGTACAAAAACGTTCTACTAACAGATGGCCTCTCACTCATCAGAAGTTCTGATTTTTACCTCAACAGCCATTTCTAACCCAATTTCTGTACCGCCACTGGATATCCATCTCAGATTTACAAACAAAAACCAATTGGAAGTCTGTCACAAAGACTTTTGCCTTAGTGGCAATTTCTAACACTAATTTTAACACATGTCTGTCCAATAAATATTTTTGTACCTCTCCTCTTACTCCACTTTAGCCGTTTTTGCTTTACTCCCGCCACTAGTGGTCACTGTTGTTTTATTTCTAGCTGGAACGGCGCCTCTTGACGGGCACATGACAAATGCATTAGGTTATGCAGTTTTGTCGTCTTTCCTCGCAGTATCGTGACATCGAATTGAAGAATTCTAAACAAAGGTTTATTTTGGTAATAAATGCTCGTTTTTGAGAGGTATTCATTTAACAGTATGCTGTAAGCAGAACACCTAGCACCGAAAACTATCAGTGCCGTATGCGTATTCGTCATAAACCGGGCTTTCTAATTGTAAAAAATATATTTATTTTGTGGGTATAATTGTGCAAATATACGCAATTTGCTGTGTAGTTTTTTAAAGATGCATTTAATGTCTTGTCTTTGATCGCAAACGTGCAGAAGTCGACAACGGATTTTCTTCTTGTCGCCGTAAAACAAATTGAGCAGCGCGAGCTACCACTAGTGGTCACTGTTGTTTTATTTCTAGCTGGAACACTGCCTCTTGTTCTCCAGACATGGACAAGACGGGCACATGAGTCATGACCAATGCATTAGGTTATGCAGTTTTGTCGTCTTTCCTCGCAGTATCGTGACATCGAATTGAAGAATTATAAACAAAGGTTTATTTTGGTAATACTGTAAATGCTCGTTTTTGAGAGGTATTCATTTAACAGTATGCTGTAGCAGAACACCTAGCGCCGAAAACTATCAGTGCTGTATACGTATTCGTCATAAACCGGGCTTTCTAATTGTAAGAAATATATTTATTTTGGGGGTATAATTGTGCAAATATACGCAATTTGCTGTGTAGTTTTTTAAAGATGCATTTAATATCTTGTCTTCGATCGCAAATATGCAGAAGTCCACAATGGATTTTCTTTTTGTCGACGTAAAACAAATTGAGCAGCGCTAGCTATGAGCCCACTAACTCACAAGAGCGAGAGAGTGGTTATTTATTAATTAATTGAGATATTTATTTTTGAAAGTAGAAAGGGGCAAAGTCCTTTAGTAGGTCAGAACATAAGCGGGAGCAGTCCAGCCCCTCATCAATGGGCCTGATTGCATAACCAAAGATGTCACAAGTATCTTGGCGCTATGCCACGCGCATATGTCTGGGCTCTGTTTTGAGGCAGATAGCTAATCATTAACCTTCAGCGCACCCAGAAAAGACGACCAAACCCCTGGCACCCCAAGCCGCCTCACCCAGGAGAGTTGCATCAGCCGTTGTAGGTCTTCAAAGCTAATGAAGTGCTCTGACGCTGACTTCAACACATGACAATGGAGAGGAGTCGTCAACTGTTTCCTCCCCTCACCGGCAGTGCAGATGATTAGCATTCATCTATAGCTTCACTCTAGTCATACACACAAACGTATATGTGCCGTTTATACTTTATATGTATTTACGTACATATGTGAATAATTGCTGATGCTCTTTATTCTGGTGTACCGCAACTTAAAATAGCAGAGAAAATTTCATTTAATTTAGGACGTCAGTTTCACTAAGTGAAACTCGTACGGGTTCATTTCAGAAGACCAATTCCGAAATTTTTTCTTAAAAAAAATTGGGATGACGTAATTCTTCAAATGGATTGACAAGGGAAATTTCAGGTTTCGTTTGCGGTAGGCTGTGATCATCGAAAGCATATCACCTAAGTCGTGACGTGTGTCGCCTGTGTGAAGTGAATTAATGTGACGAGTTTCGCTTTGGTGTATATTTTTGATTGGCCTAACTTGTCCCACGACAGACTTTGAGAATCAACGTGTTGAACAAATGCAGGTTTCCATCCGTAACTTCAAATAGTCACTTGTTGGATCTTGTCTCAACTGTCACATCGTGAACTGTTAGATTGTCATGACTCGAGGGCGGGGAAGTGATAAGGCGGCGTTCTTCTGGGATAATGACACACATGTGGGGGAGGTGACACAAAAAGATACCATTCAAAAGAAATATGTGAATAATTGCTGATGCTCTTTATTCTGGTGTATCGCAACTTAAAATAGCAGAGAAAAATTCATTTAATTTAGGACGTCAGTTTCACTCAGTGAAACTCGTACGGGTTCATTTCAGAAGAACAATTCCGAAATTTTTTCTTAAAAAAAATTGGGATGACGTAATTCTTCAAATGGATTGACAAGGGAAATTTCAGGTTTCGTTTGCGGTAGGCTGTGATCATTGAAAGCATATCACCTAAGTCGTGACATGTGTCGCCTATATGAAGTGAAGTAATGTGACGAGTTTCGCTTTGGTGTATATTTTTGATTGGCCTAACTTGTCCCACGACAGACTTTGAGAATCAACGTGTTGAACAAATGCAGGTTTCCATCCGTAACTTCAAATAGTCACTTGTTGGATCTTGTCTCAACTGTCACATCGTGAACTGTTAGATTGTCATGACTCGAGGGCGGGGAAGTGATAAGGCGGCGTTCTTCTGGGATAATGACACACGTGGGGGAGGTGACACAAAAAGATACGATTCAAAAGAAAAAGGCGGGCTTGAAAGGAATAGCTTCATTTTTGGGGTGTGATAGTGTCGTTGCTGTTTAGCTGTTTTCCTTGAAATGCACAAAGATTGAAAGGCAAATCAAAGTTAGCTTTTTTTTTAAACTATCTGATATTCCCAAACATGATATCAGCATGCCTGATACTTGATGTGCCTTGATCTATCCTCCACATGGAGAGTAAAATCAGCCATTTGTGTGTGTGTGTGCGTGTGTCAGGTGAAATCTTAGTCCAATTCCTCCCTTTGCAGGTGTGTGACAGTTGTGTGTGACTGGCCCTATCAGCAGCTGCAGAATCTCCACTTCCTGCGGGAGAATGACATTGCACTGTGAACAACGCATTCCGCCAAACCAGATAAGGCCATCTTAAAATGCAGATGAAATTCCACCTGTGAAAGCAGGTTACAGGAGTACTGTGATAGAGCTGTCTTTTTTTTATTTTTTTTATTTTTACATTTGGCTAAATTGGTATGATCTCAAGTCCACATGCTGTCTCAGTTCCAACCGAGCAATCGTAACCAAACAAAAAGCAACAAGAAATTGTGGTTTCTATTGTTGTTGGGGGTGGGGGTGTAACGTAGGCAAACAAAATAATGATATCCTTCAAGGCTTTTGGTCACCCTTAGGAAAATACCAAATATTAAACTAAAAACTGATCTGACAATTGTTTTGTCCCCATCGGTGAAGTGTATGCCTCATGTAGGAAAACATACCTACAAAATGTTTGTTTGCATTAAAAATACACAGATGTATAAGAAAAAATTTTTTTTTTTTTTTTTTTTTTTTTTTTTGCCCAATGTTTTTCAAGGCTACATCACACAGAAACCAAAATAAGTGATGAATTCATAAGCAAACCAAAGCTAAACTCAAATTGTTTGCGAGCGAGACAACAGACGCTGCGACGCTTCTGCCGCTGTTTGCCACTCTACTGAATTTCCACACTGCCGTGATGCTTCCCAACGCACGTGAGAAACACTTAGCTGCGCCCGTTAACCTCTTCACGTGTGAGCGGGTTAACAATTCACTTACACGATGGCAAATAAAAGGTTTTACCGAATGTTTGAAGCAGAAGCTCCGGATCGTCAGTAAAGATTACACCCAAGACATGTAAATTCTCTCTGACAGCTCCATGGCGGCTTCACATTCCAGGCCTACCATGTATGAAACTATAACGACACCCAATTTAAAGAATGCGGCTGAACTTTCCTTGTTCCAAATCAAGACGGTATCTCATGGGTGAAACAGTCCGTTTCAAACAGAGAACACAAATACATCTCAATCAAATATCCACTCTTTAGTTCTTGTGGGGAGATTCTTGATAGATTAAAAGTGCTGCAAATTACACTGCGGGCCAGAAAGCATTTGGAAAATTAAAGACTTGTTAGGATGTTTGCATTTTTGTGCCATCACCTTGGATAGGAGTTAGAACAAACAGGACGTGATTGAACCTTCATCTACAATTAATAAAAGCACGTTGATGTAAATACATGGTTTGCAACAATGCAAACCACTGGCATCATTCCAGAACACCCAAAGCCTGAAAATATCACCTCCAATGTTCTGTAATCAGATTCTTTGGACAGATGCGACCAATGCCAACTTCCTATCAAAAATGAGAGGGAGAAAGAAACACATTGTTGGCGCAAGCCTTTGTGGGACCCTCAGCAGAATTTGATTTTGTTCCCCTTGGAAAAAAAAAAAAAAAAAGTCTTTCATTGTCCAAATACTTATTCGACGCGTGAACTGTACTGCCCAGCCTGAAAAAGACGATTTCAAGTGACAACGGTGGGAAAATGAATCAAACCTGGGCCACAGACCACCCAGCTCGATTCTACAAAATACACCTAAGCGGCTTGGCACCAGCTGGAAACATCCAGTGCGACGATGGACCGCCCCCAAAGCTTTACTTTTCCCCCAAGTGTTTTGGTGAATTGTGGCGATGGCAAATACAAATACAAAATAGAGGATGTTACAAAAGTGTTTACAAGAATGAATTAATAATTTACCATCACTGGTGCCTGCATAGCCACTCCCCACCAAACATATCCAATCATAGTGATGACTGATTTGCCATCCCTGTCTGCAGAAACACAACCCTGACTCAGTATTGGTCCCTTTCTTTACTGCTGGCACACTGAATGTGTGTGTGTGTGTGTTTGTGTGTGTGTGTGTGTGTTGTTTTCCTAACAGACAGTCAAAACATTTGACTAGGTCACCAGAACATAGGTTCCTGTTTTCCAAACGTTATTTTTTAAGTGGCCTGTAAGAATCAACACACTCAATGTCTTGTTTCTTCCATTGAAAAAAATGAGAGAGAGCTCGACTTGGCTGGAAAAAAAAAGTCTACACCTCCGACTTAGTCAGCAACCCAAAGACCGCAATAAATATATCTTAACTTCCTCTTGTTCCGTCTCCTAAAGTTGATATTTTCACAGCTGTGGCAAAACTCAACTGCTCCGTGGATTCTGGCTTGCCCCGTATTATTTTGGTTCACCTTTGAAGGTGAAGCACAGTTTTGGTCATTTTAACCCATTCAAATGCATTCATTGGAATCAATCACCAAATTTTTGGACAGTAACATTTCACAAATGTTTGGAAGCATTACACCCTGTTTGGAAGAATGATATAACAATATAGCTGATTTTGACATGTTTAACCTTTTCAATATTATTTCGTTTTTAAAAGAGATTAATTATTTTTTTTCGAGGGCTTAAACATGCCCAAAAATCCACCGATTTTTGCAAGCATGTCTTCCAGTGGCTTCAGAACAAGACCCCCCCAAACTAGCACGACAAAATCTGAAGGAAGAGAGTCTGAGGAGATCACGACGTTAAAAAAGAATGAGCGCCGCAAGACTTTCACCAATTCACACCAAATTGTCTAACCATGCACAAAAAACTCTTGAGAGGACCCGTGTCTGACTTTGAACAGGAAGTTGGCCATTTGGGGTGAAAGGCCAAAGTTAAGGGGATTCCCACTTGGGCAAATCCTAATTGCAATTAAATTGGCTGTGTGAGGGCCAGTTCAATGCTGCTTCGAGCTTTAAAATGACACCGGTCAACAACAAATTTTAATCAGAGAGTGCTTTGTGTGTTATTGTTTCATGCAAGTCCCAACCATGTTACTGTGGCAAAAGTCAAGCAACTCAAGTCATCGGAATAGTGGAGTTGGGGCACTTTATTGAAAAGAAGACTTTTCACTGGACTTCCACTTTAAACTTATCGGTCCACTTATGACTTGCGCACGTGAAAACGCCTAAACTATACACATTCTATTGCATTTGGTATTTCCATAAGGCAAGCAGAAGGCTCTTGTAAAAGGTCGAAGTTGGGTCTCTCTCTCTCTCTCTCTCCCCCCC